ACCATCCTGCTCATCAGAGCTTTTTATGTGAGTTTGTGTACCTCTACCATCCCACTCATCAGAGCTTTTTATGTGAGTTTGTGTACCTCTACCATCCCACTCATCAGAGCTTTTTATGTGATTTTGTGTTCCTCTACCATCCCACTCATCAGAGCTTTTTGTATGATTTTGTGTTCCTCTACCATCCTGCTCCTTAGAGCCTTTCGTGTGATTTTGTGTACCTCTACCATCCCATTCATCAGAGCCTTTCGTGTTCCTCTACCATCCCTGGTAAAAGATAAAATTCTCTCAGTAGTTACACTTTATTTACCAAGGTTTCATTTCCTGAACCAAAAAAAGGAAAATTGCAAGAAAAATTTGCTTTCAGAAGGTGACCGTGAGAACTTTATTGTTAAAAAAACAACAACAAGAAACCTTGGTTGTGGAATTTAAAATACTATTGTAGGTATTGAAATATAACTGGTGGTGCTGGTTAATATCTTTATTTGTGTTGAGACAACATCAAAAAGCTTAACATTGTTGTGGAATTTCTTTTTAGATGTAAGCACTGAAAACACTCACGAAAAGAAACATAAGAAACAGAAAAGACACGATGAAGACAAAGAGAGAAAGAAGAAGAAAAAAGAAAAAAAGAAGAAAAAGGTAGGTTATACTACATTCATGTATTATGTAGAGATATGTTTATAATTGTATCATTTATAAAATTTCCAGCATCGTAACGTAAACATCCATTTTGCTACACATATCCTCTGTCTCTTTATTATCTCTTATCGGGCCAAGGTGTGTCAATTCGTTTTATTGCATTACAAAAAAAAATGGAATAGTTTGAAACTTCGTAAGAATTTTCTACAGATTGTCTAGTTCCTAATATCTTATTTTCTTATGTAATATTTGTCTAAATTCATAGTTTGGAAAGTTTGAAATGGTTTCATTGTGATATGTTTTTTTTTCAGAAACACTTAAGAATGCTTGCCTTTATTAAAGATTTTTATTACTTATTTTCATGTCTTTCTACATTCTTTTAAAACTTTCTTATAATGTTTTGATTTTATAAAACTGTAAATTTTATCTTTGTTTTAATTTGAAAAATCTGTTTGCACTTTCACGCTGTTTATGATCACTGGTGTACATAACTTTTTACCAAACCATGATTATAAGCAAGCTGACTTTTTTTAAAATTATTAATAAGTTGTAAACCCATTTTATATTTTTTCTGTAGCTTTTTAAGCACTTACCTAGGCCAATAAGACCCTAATGTAAAATACTCAAATACAGCGGCCTTGTCAGGAAAAAAAAATATGGTCTAGTGGAAAATTATCTAACTAAGCCTACATGATCTTGTTCCATGAAAAACGGCCCGGCATGGCCAGCTGGTTAAGACGCTC